TCTGAGTCAAATGAATTTGCCCAGACCCACTGGGCTTTAAGACGTATGTTCTGATAGTATGATTTTTGATACACTATCTGGGGGCATAGTGTATGTGCAGTAGTCTCGCCGTTCAAGCAATAGTTTAGCATAGGAGACCGCCTGTATCTATGAAGGAAATGAACGGTTGTAATCGTCTTCCTTTGCACAAAGTTTTTTAAACAATATTTTTTTCTGAAAGGTGAAAACTGGAGGAATCTCTGATATTTAAATTAGATAAAGTGATGCTGACTTAAATATGCAATCTTCGCCCAGCAAAAAGGATCGCTAAAAACCTACCCTATTGATGCTTGTAGGGAATGTTTGTAAATGAATTGGTGAGATACGGTGTGATGGATCGCCACTGAACGGTTTTCTACTCACCTGTAATAACCTCAGAGAGAGCCTGTATAGCTGGGATAGTTGCAGAACAAATTATTTACCACCAAAAGCGTGCGGCTTAATTGTAATTAGCACAACTGCAATCACGTCTGATCTGGCCGGCTTCGATTACATCACAGAGTGTCTCTTTCTAAGCATAATAATACACGGCAGCAGACCTCGACAGTTCACCCCATTCCTTTCACAGCAACGGTACCAAATGTCCGTTGACGAATACGATGGTCGATACCCAGGTTAAACTCTATGGTGCTACGTTCTGTCGCTTCTGAGGCATGTTTCATCTACTATCGAAGATAACAAATTGCTGACAGCTCTCACCTCCTTCATTTGACCTAATTGTCAAACATTTGCCGACCTCGGTGAGATTCGAACCCAAGCCGGCAAGGGGAAGTCTTTAGTACAGTCAACACTCTAACCACCTGAGCTATGAGGCCTACCGGCAGCCCTGAGAATCGCACGCTGTTTTGGGCCGCACAAATTTGTGAGATTAGGATCCAAGTCTTGGAGGCAACCAATGCTATAATCACTTGAGCTACAAGGCCCCACCAGAAGTCGTGAGCTTAATCACACTTTGGCCAAGTTTCCCATCCAGTCCAGAATCCATCAATTCTGATACAGTAGGCTGACTGTCAACCAGGAGTTCTAAAGCCATTAACCAAGAATCAA